GCAAAGAAATTTCCTGCTCCTTCATCTAAGCTACCTAAGAATTTTCTATTGAAGAAAAGATTTATATTAAACGGTAGGCTTTATGATAGTCGTCATAAGCACTTTGGTTGACTTCGGGCTTCATAGAGGAGAGGACAATCAGAGTCTCAAAGATCAGAGAATGTGAACAGAAGAGTGCTTCACATATGTAAAGGTGACAGACGCAAGGTTGGAGAAAAATGTAAGGTGAGTACTGTGAAAGTGGTCGAATATGGCATACAGTCGGGTCATGGAAGTTTGAAGTCAGAAATTACTTGACGGTATGTAGGCCACTTTGCCGTATGATAATACGTTGCCCAGAGTGTACCACGTGAAGGTAAGTCAATCGCGCACTCCATAAGTAACACTTTTTACCTATTTAAAATTCCATTTAACGGGTACTCAATTTTTATAAGTAAAATAGAGTGGTTTCTGAGCATAGCAAACCAAATTAGTGTTTTTGAATTTCCAGAACTAGGAATAAATAAATAAGAAATTAATTTTCAGAGCCTTCGAAAAAACGATACAAAGCACTAAAATTACTTCTAAAATCATAATCAAATGGTTGTGAACAACATTTACCTTTTGAAGAGGAAATAAAACTTATTACATATTTGAAAAACGATTCGCTTTATGAAATCAGCCTACCTCTTAAGCTATATTATTTAGCATTTCAGAACAATTAGAAATTTTTGGTGAGGTGATTTGATAAGTTATATAGGTTTGTTTTAGCACTTGATGCAAGAAATTTATTAAACCAATAAATTTGAAATCGCGCAATTGATAACTAATGTAAATCCCAAATAATTTAAAGTGGTGTAATATAATATTTTTTTCAATTTTTGAGTTTTAATTCATCGGGCATAACTAGAAGTAATAAAATGGCTTACCTGAATTTATAAAAAAATCCAATTTGGTACCCTTCCGGCTGGTTCCCTTTACTCTATCGCAAAAAACCATGGGAAATATTAGTTAGATCTTCATAGAAGCATAATTGCTTTAGTCCCGCCTTTATAAAAGTGCACAGACAAATGACAACAAAATAAAATACATAAAGTCACTAAAATATTTCCAGTTACAGTTGAGTGAAAATGTTACCCACAACCTCTCGTAAGTGCTGTAGCGGACTGCTACACTAGTAAAGCCTTGACTAATTCAGAAACCTCTTATTGGGTATATCTCCCGAAACGGTGTCAAATAACGGAATTTCAAAATTTCTGTCAATGTAATTAAGCAGATTGGAGTTAGAAATCATTGAAGTGTTCAAACATTTAGTAGAAAAAATAAAGTCCAAAATTCCTGAAAAGCATAATTTGTAATAATTTCTAGAATAATCACTAAATAATCAATCTAAAATATGAATTTAGTCATACAATGCCAAAAAGATTATGGCTTTAAAATAAAACATTGAGATCTAAAAAGCAATCAGGATAATACTCCTATATTACGTCCAAGGTCATAGGATAATGGCGCTAAGTTTGGTTCGTTTATTTGTTTTCCAGATATTATTAGTTAACATTCAGAAATAAAATCGGTTGCTAACCAGTTCTGAGTTTAAAAATTATGCAGTGATTTTTTATTTTGGAAGAGAATATTGAATCGTTTGCGAGAGCTTTACTAGAGTAATATCGCTTTTTACTAATTTTCTAGAAGTCAACATCGTCAAGGATTTTATTTCCTTTAATTGGATATACCCTTATCTGTTCAAGCTTGGCTAATAGCAATTTCGGATGTCGTGATGAAAATAACAAAGTGGTCGACTGGTTAGTTCGAATATAGCATGGATAACTAACTTTCTAGGATAATTGCCTACAAATTTCCAAATGAATTTTCCTATGGTCTAGTAACACCTGATAAAACTAATTGGTTCTCAAACAATGATGATTTGAGATATGATGGCTTTTTAAAATACACATTCGATCAAGTATTTAACGACACTGGCACTGATTTTGCCTTTGGGATGTATAATGATGAAGTTCCCCAGCATTTGTCTAAAGGGGATGTCTGGTATGGCCACATGAAAGGTAAGTTTGATTTTAAATCATCTTTTCAGTAAGCAGCTCAATGGTTTTTGACTCTGCATTTATATCACAGGTCTTTTCGCCTTCCCCGAAAATAATCGAGGTTTCTGGCTTATTCATAGTGTCCCCAAGCTCTCAATGAAACCAAATATATATGTATATCCAAATACTAGCAAGGAGTACGCTCAGCACTTCTTTTGCGTAACATTAAACTATTCCAGTTTGGAAACTATAGGCACGTTTTTCCCTAATTATCTATCAAACTGGCAACGAGTGACTACTCATTCATTGTTTTACCTTTTTAGCTGATCATCTTGCCATAAGTCGTCCTCTTATTGAGAGCTTTAGACTTCCTAAATCAATTGAGAAGTCGATTCCGAAACTGAAAGATATTTTCAGTCATAAGGCGAGGAAAAATGCTAGTTTGTTTTTGTCATCAGATCTCAATGCCACAAGAGATGACATATTTCTGCGAATAATTTCAAAATCTCGCAAGTTTTACCAAGGTGTGTCAGAAATGTCCGTTGTAGTTTTTAATTTTGGCCTATTATCATATAAAACAAAAAACATGTTATTCACGCTTGATATTTTTCCCACCCTTTAATTTCAGATTTGTATTCTGATTTGGTCGCTCCTGATTTGAAAGTTCCACTCCTCGTTGAAACTTGGCGGCATTCCACTTCAAACCTTCCATCAAATTGTACCACCAAATATTGGGTGATTCCACTTAACCTTTCTATTTTTTTCTCCTAGTCTCTAAACTTTTTTTCTCCTTAAATAATTTTGGAGTGTTCCTATATTTTCTTGCTTCATGGTCGAACGAATTTCACATGGTGATCTTGTGGGAATTCTAGTAGATTCATGTGCTCAAGAGTCATTGGCCCCACATATGCTACTGATAGACTCTATTCGCACTATGCCATGTGCTAGGGGCTTCATTTTCTACATTCATTTTGAGCGATATGTAGATGAAAATTCTAGCACTCTTAGTAGATAACATTTTAAAATTTAATTTGAAATAGAGTTTTTATTACTTTAATAGGCGGTGTCATTTGCAATTTTGTTTCATCAATATTATAACTATCGGAGGGCCTTAGATACGCCCCAATTATTATTCAAACTTCTACTCGTTACAGAATATATTTATTTCAAATGGCAGGCGTTTTGATAGATATCATTAGCTATTTAGCTGACTTCGGGGTTCATAGAGGGAAGGTTCATCAAAGTAGCAGAAAGTCGAGGGGTGGGGAACAGAAGAGCGATTCACAGATGTAAAACAGGCAGACAGACACAAAGGTAGAGAAAAAGGTAAGATGAGTACTGTGAAAGAGGTCGAATATGACAAGCAGTCGGGTCATGGTAGTTTTAAGTCAGAATTAGTGAAGTTTAGGTGAGCGGAATGGCCAATCTCGATGGTTGAGTGTGGTGGAATTCGATTATTTTACGGGGGTAGTTCGGAGGCACTGTTCTGCGTCCAATGTATGGGTTGGAAAACAATTTTTCTAATAGGCCTAAGAATTAAGTTTCTTATGCTAAGCAGCATGTATTGTAGGGGCTTTGACTAACAGGCTATAGAGCCTAGCAGAACAGAAAATGTCATAAAAAATTTTATTCCAATTTCCTTTAATGGTTTTGAACAGATACCGATTCAATGAAGGGGGGGGGGGGTTGGCAATCGTCCAGCCTTAAAAAAAGTGAAAATTAAGGAGTCAAGTCAGTCTCTTAGTGATCGCTTTATCAAAATGCACGTTATCATAGGCAAAATCCACTGCATTGAAATAACTAGGCAATCTTAGTGATATATTGATGCCTTCTAACTATGCGCGCTGTGGTATGCTAAAGGTTTTACCCACAAAATTGGACTATTGGCTCGTTATTATGACCCCACTTGCATACTCATCTTCATAACTTGACGATTAGCTTGCCGGATTTGATCCTTTCGGCTGTTAGTCATAACTTGTTAATCCGCAATTCGTAAAAAGAAATGCGTTTCAGGGGTGCTAAAATCCTTTGGTTAAAATTCCCTCAGTTTACTCTTGTTCCCGGCAGAAGCTCGGCTGTGTTAACAGCACTGCATTATTCATTGTTCTTTTCTTAAATTAAGGTGCAAAATATCGAAAAACTAGAATGGCCCAAATCGATGAATGTGAAGTTCAAGTCAACGCAAGATCACTCCAAATGGACAACTTCTACTAACGAAGAAGGTGACAAGTGGACTTGCTTTGGTGACATTAATAGATCGGTAAGTTGATCTATTTATTTCCGTTCACCTAAACATGCTTTTTTTAAAGATTCGTTCTTTTGAGATTTATTTTGCCAATTTTTGTTTAGCTAAAATGGAATCCAGTGTTCTCTTTTATTTTAATAAATTCTATTAATTTCTGTCATTATTTGTAACCCGTTCTAATCGTATTAAAATCTTATTCACCCTCCCCCCTGCCCAATTTGCAATTATTCCATTCTTTATTACATCTTATTCTAACCTCAATAAACGGGGGGAAATTAAATCATATGCTGTTTGTTATCTCCGGTTGACTTCTAAGACTAGATGCAGTAAGGAGTGTCCAGTGAAAATTAGAAAAACATACTCTTTGTTAGTAGTCTATTACTACGTGGACAACTTTAGAATTAGAACCTACAAGATCACAGTAAAATCATTAAGCCGGAGAGACTAAACAAGACGACAAACTTTTCCCATATTTCTATCAAATAGCACTTTTTTAATCGGAGAAGCGCACGGTGTTTTGTGTCTGCACAACACTAGTTTTGGAGTCTCGCTGTAGTGAGATTTGAGAGAGCATTGGTACAGTTTTCTAATTTGAAGTTCCGTTACTCGGAGCTACCATAGTGGTGCGTTTGTATTTTATAATTATCTAATAATTACTGTCTTTGCAAAGACTACGACAAAGCATTGCAACTTCTAACTTTGAAAAGAAATTTTAAAATGTTGTGAGGAAGCCCAACTGATGATGGAAGTGTGGTGGGCAAAAGGTTGCTGAGAGTGATATCAACATCTCAACAGAGCTACGTGGCCAGCGCAATATTGTACAGTCCGCATATTGCATATATCCATCTGTGAACAAATAATTGGAAATAGTTATGGCATAATTTCATGGCATTTAATGCATAAATAGGGTAAAACGAATCTCATTTCTCCCTCTGTCCCTCTAGGTTTCTTCGCCCTTATTTCTCTTCTTTTCTACATTCTTTTAGCGTTTTTCGCCCTTACATACATCTTTCGCCTTATCTATATGCTGTGCTTTGACACAGACGTGCTTCTATTATGCCTCCTGTGCATAATTGAATGAGGCTTTTGGTGAGGACGTCATTAAACGTCTGATCTCTCTTTATACGGTTTTTAATTTGTCATCTCTAATATTTTTGCGTGTATTTTCTTTCATTTAATCGGTTTGTTTGAAACATAGATTTTTATCGTATTCTTAATCACTGTCTATTTTAGGGGAGTCAGTTTGCGAGAGGTGGTGGTACACTTTGTATAAAGGATCCGAGAATCTGGAAGCTCTTCCGCAATCTAGTCGTTAAAGTTGAAGATTGTCCGATCACCATTCCTTGGAGCAAACTATATCCTTCTTTGCCCCTTAACTGATTAAATTCAGATTGTTTTATGATTTTCTCTTTTGTGTATGATTTATTATTATGGAAATTTTTATTTAATTAATAAAATTGTTGTCGAAAGAGCAATTATTTTTCTGCCTTATTTCATATGACTATTCAATCTTGGAATTTATAAAGTAGTTTAGAATATTTTTTCTTTTAGACATTGTTCCTTGCTTGAAATATTTTGCCTACTATTATTTTCTGCCTCTGTATAAACCTCCCTGAATTTGACCAAGTGAATTTTTCAAATTTAGTGACTTTAACTCTATTCTACTTTAAACGAATCTTTTTTTCAATAACCTATTATTGGTAAATTTAGTTCTAGCTTTAATTACTTAAACACAGAGACAACGTTAATTTAGACTTTTGTAAAATATCGTGACTTGGATTACGATAAGCACATTTTTACTCCTCTAACTTTTATTTTACAAAATCCGCATGTATATTATGTTCATAATCAAGTTACAACTCCATCGTGATGAAGAAGTTTATTGAATTAATTTCATGAATAACCTCAAAGCATCGACATGAATAATCTAAATTTACATCAGCAACTTGAATATAAACAACCATCTAGGTGCTGATCAGGCATGGTTGTTAAGTCACTTGTGAATTATGACACACACACGATAAACATTCTACCAATATAAAACCTTGATTTAAGGTTTAAGTCGATCACATATATTGATTAAAACTGATTACTGGGACAACTTATCATTAAACCCATTCGTTATGTGCCGAATTCGACCACTGTTAGTCCCCCTGAAAAAGCCAAAATATTCAAAGTATTTTTTCAAAATAACGTCGGTGAATTCAATATCTGTGGTTTTAAAATTTTTCTGGTTTCAAGTCCAACAATCTAAGAAAGGACAATTAAAAGTAGAATAGACTTTAGACGCCGAACTCACGACTTCTATGGTGCAGAGTTCTACTCTAAAATGTCTCCTTTGTTTTCAACTCTTGGCAGCTTATCTTTTTTTAGAACAAACCTAAAGCGAAAATTAATTTAAGTGAACAGGTATTTTAAATAATTTTACTTTTCCAAGTGGCTTGAGTCTAAATTCCTCCATTTCTCATTAGTTGATCGGCTTTTCAACAAAGCGTGTGGGACACGTCATAGCTTAACACGTCATCGCATGCCTGCACGCGGGACAGCACGCCAGGATTGGGAGGTGCGACCGTACAAACAGTGACCAATCATTAACCTCTGTTTGTTTAACCTAATCTGCCACCCTGATCATGATTAAGCTTCCTGCGTTACACTTGTTCCGCAATATACTTACCGAATAAACGTACTCCGTGCTACACGTCAGTTTCCTTTATAACTTTGTCTTAGCTTAGCTAATTCCCGGGGACTTTCGAGTTGGAAGAAACTGCTATAGAGCTTTCTGAGAATAGTCAAGGTTATTGAGGTAGCTAATCCGCTACAAGCGTAAGTTATCGTATCTAGAACAATCTCCCAGTTTCATTTTTTTCTCAAATCCAGGCACATCATTTTCTTCAACTTTAGTAGAATGCATTCAAGAATCAAAAACCTGCTTAGAAAGTCTAATTGAAAATGTTAACATTTATTGTGGTACACTAATTGGCTTCCGATTTCTTATAACATCTTCGAATTAAACAAAATGGTTATTTAAGGAGTATTAATATAATTTTCAAACTAAATATTGAATGCTTGCGGAATTTTTATAGACTATCAGACTACTAAACATGACTTTATTAATTAAATCCAACCTCTTAAATAAATGCCCATTTTAGAGTTTTATTAATGTGCCTACCAAATTGATGCACTTTATTTACCTATTGTATGTTTAATTTATTACAATTTGATTATTTAACCACCTTTCATTATTACTCTCTGTTTTAGATTAACATTAATGTATTTTGTATTTCTGAATTAAGTATAAAAAGTAAAAATCGATTTTCACGGCCAAGCAAATTGCAATCCCTTCGAAATCATTCTGTGATGTGCTGTATTAAGGCTATCTTCACTGCCTTTTAGATAATACTCGAAGCGGTTGATCATATATTCAAATTAGCGAACTTTTTAATAATAAGGCGCACCAAAAAATATGCTTTCAAACAGGGAATTTGGTGCACAGATCGAATTTTGTGAATGGTAATAATAGAACATGAAAAGTAAATAGCATGCATGTTAAGCACGGAACAAAACTTTGTTACCAATTTAGGCCTTGATTTCAGATTTTTGATTTAATTCGTCTCCTATCAATTACCGTCATATTGGATTCGGTTGCAATGTTCAGCTGCCATCACGTGATGTGAAAGTGAATCAGCGCACCTGGACCTTTATTCTGTTTCTTTTCAGCGATTATGAAAAAAGTTCGCATTATTATTCTATTTCACATTTTAAGCTGCCATTTTAGACTTTAAAGCCAAACTCCTTCACCAATTTTTTAATAACAGTAAAATATTTCATATCTTCGCAACCAAACGCACCAATCTCCGCCAATGTTAACCAAAGCAATTGAAACCAACTGGCCATAATTGCTTAATTCACTAAAGAGTTAAGGTGTCAGATAACATTTTGTTTCTGTGTTTGAGATAATATTGGAAGTAAGTTTAATTAGAAAAAAATAGAGTAGTTACAAAGGCCTACTACAGATATAAACACCACGATTTAAAATTGAACACAATTTACATAGTGCATTTATTGAAATATATTTCAACGAAATCTTATGTTTCATTTATTAATATACTTCTCTTATGTTTGAGAAGATGTCGCGAAATAATTATGTAAATTGGTGTTGAAAGACACAAGATGTTTATTTCAATGGAGAATATTAAAAGAATTCAAAAATTTTAATACATAAGACTATTTAATATTAAGTTTTTAAGTCCTTGTTAATTGTTATCGAAATCAAGCGTTTAAAGTAGTATACTGAACATCTCTATAAATATGCTCAACATTTGAAGACTATTTATTTAGTGATTGCATTTTGGAGCATCATAGTTACACGAATTTCTTGTTTATAGTTTCACCCTTAGTAATTGCGAATAACAGTACCCAAATTTGATCAGTGTTTACATATAATTGCTGAATGTTGGGTGGCTAATTTAATCATCACATTGATCAAATAGATTTTAACGTCAGAATGAAGTAATCCATCAATTAATTTATATTGAGGTGCGTAGTGTAAGAAAGGAATAAAAATGACAAGTGTTATGAAAAGAAAATTCTATTTTTGTAACCTCTATACATATGTTCAAACGAAATTATCAAATCATTATAGTTTGATTAACCTCCAAAGTGAATAAAATTATATAGAAACTATTTACCCCAATTCGATAAATAATAGATTTGATTATTCTATGTAACCATCAAAGTTTATCAAGTTAAATTTACGAACACATCATTTTTTTAAAATAAAAATGAGTACATAAAATATATTTAAAAAAAATAATTGTATGCTTGCGAAATTAATGAGTTTATATATAAAACGCATGAGGGGTTATAAGACTTTTTTATTTTATTATATTACCCATTCCTGTTTGCTTCTGGGAAGCATTTATATCCATTTGTAGAGCAAAATTACGTCAAATCATACCTATTTTGGAGCAAATTGATGTCTTCGTTTTCTTTCATGTTTGCCCCCCCCCCCATGATCTATTTGTTTCACCATTAGCAGAAAAACAAACACATTTTGACTTGAAATATGAAATAAGAGGAACCTCTCTGAAAGCTCTATATTTAAAGAGTTATTTCATAATTTTAATAATATTAATTGTGCATGAGTAATTTGATTTTGTTGTCTTCTTAAGTTAACCGTCGATTTTGAAGAGTGGATCACCGTTCCAAATAATGAGAAAGCACCAGTACATTTCTTTACTACATCAACTTTTATAATAAATCTTCTTTCATTTTAAAAGTGGGTCCCATAAGAGGTTCTATTTTGTTCTACGCCATTCCATATGTGAAAGGAAAGCTATTAGTGGAGCTATAAATTATTACAGGATTCAAGTAAACACAATTAGATCGATTGCATAAAAAAGCATTTTACAAAATTTTTACGTTTTATTTGTGATCTTAACACGAACTCGGGTCATTCAATAACTACCAATATTAAAGAAATTTAAGTCAAATGGCAGGCGTTTTGATAGTTATCATTAGCCCTTTAGTTGACTTCAGGCTTCACAGAGAGGAGGGAATAAAGTCAAGAGGGGATGGGAGGGAAGAGTGTTTCAAAGATGTTAAATAGACAGGCAGACACAAAGGTAGAAAATAGGTGAGGTGAGTACTGTTTAAGTAGGGGAATATGAAATGCAGTGGGGCCTTGTTAGTTTGAAGTCAGAAGTCAACTGCCAGTTAATAGACTTTTTGCCCTATGAGAATACGTTGCCCAGGGTGCACCACATGGAGGTAGTCTATCGCGCACCCCATAACTACCAATATCAGTTTTGAGAGTATTTGATCCATAATTTTGAAATCTTAGACACGCTTATCTTTTACAAAGCGCCTTATCAAAGATTCGATCTGCACAGAGGACAAAGACTCCATCAATAAAATTCATATAGATGAGAATGATAAATATCGGAATATGTGGTTTTTATACCAGAGGTGAAAATGTGCATTGTTGAATAGTTCATAGTTCAACAAATAAGTATGTTTGATATATCATCTTAAATCTGTAGTTGACTTATTATCGCCATATGACAAGCCACAAAATATTGCGAATTTTTACCTGCAGTTTCTTAATTTAGCATATTTCTATCATACTAACTGCCCGTAATCAAATGTTTAATCTGTTAATTAAGATATACTCTTAATAAGGCACACATTTTTTGAATCCTACATAAAGAAAATGAAATGAGTGGAAGCAAAGCCTCTGAAATATTTATATAGTTGCTTTAAGCACTAACCTGATGAAGGAATGCGTAAGTCGGTTCCTTCACAATATTTGGTTTGAATATGATTGTGTAAAAAGAATATACCTTTCTAACTCACATCAATTAAACGGACGACTTAAGCTG